CTGAGTAGCTGGGATTACAGGCACGTGCCATCAGGCCCAGCTGATTTTTTGTATTTTTAGTAGAGACGGGGTTTCACCATGTTGACCAGGATGGTCTCGATCTCTTGACCACGTGATCCACCCGCCTCGGCCTCCCAAAGTGCTGGGATTACAGGCTTGAGCCACCGCGCCCGGCCTGGTAAGCATGATTTCTTCTTTTATTTTCCTAAGGTTTAATTATTAGGAAGAGATGTTCTAATCACATGGTTTAAACTTCAAAAAATGCAAAACAGGGTAGCCTTCCCCCACTTCCCTCACTATCCTCCCTCTACCCCTAAGGCAGCCAGTCACCTTCCCTCCTTCAGTGTCTTGGGAAGATAACGTTGTGGATAAAGACAGGGTTTATTTTTTATAAGTGTTCTGTACATTCTGGTCTGCATGTGCTTAATTGGATGGAGGTTGTTCCACACTAATATGTAATGAGCTGGGCTTTCTTTATGGCTGTGTTGTATTCCTTTGAACAAATGACTTCTATTTATGCAACCACTCCCCTAATGATAGGAACTAGGGGACTGGCTGCATAAATAGAAGTGAGCATATGCTGGAAAGAGGTCTGGAATGTCCAAATCTAGTTCCTATAAGAAATGTGTTTCTAAACTGCTGAATCAAAACACAGGTTCAACTCACTTAGTTGAACGGAGGTATTGAGGTTGTTGAGTCTATTTGCATCCTACTTGGATGCGGTTTTTGTACATTCTTACATTCTTTCACCACTCCAGTGAAGGAGACCCACCTGCCCTGGACCCTCCGCTTCCCCTCTTGTAGCTGAATTTACTCCATTGAAGTTTTCTGGGGCCTGAGATCTCAGTTCAGGGGAGTCCAGCAACAAACGGTAGACTAGGGTTTGAACAGCTGGCACAGTAATGTCAATGGAAAGAGGCAGAATTTGGCAGCGCTCAAACATGTTGCACTCAGCAGCCACCACCAGCACATCCTCTACACCATCTCATGAAGGGGCCCACCCATCTCTGTCCTTCCAGCTTACAACACACCCACACTGGGCATTCAGTTCAGAGGTGGGAGAGAGGAGGACCCCCTCCTATCCCAGGACATCAAGATGTCCCGGGAACTGAGAGTAGACACATTGCCACAAGGTGGTACCCTCATTCTCAGGGATGCTGGTCTTGGAGCAGCCCACTCCAAATGAGGGGCCCTACGGACCAG